GGTTCTCAGCCCCCCCTCCAAATATCCCTCCCACATCCCCATCATCCTCCCTCATCCCCATATCCCTCCCTTGTCCCTGTAACCCACTCTCATTCCCCTCCCTCATCCTCATTTCCCCCGTCCCTCATCTCCAGCGTCCTCCCTCATCCTGGTCCCCTTCCCTTGTCCATGTCCCCTTCCCTTGTCCATGTCCCCTTCCTGCATTACGGTAACCCTCCCTGATCCCCTGCCCTTGTTCTCAGCCCCCCCTCCAAATATCCCTCCCTTGTCCCCATCATCCTCCCTCATTGCTGTCTTCCTCCTTCATCCTCGTAACCCTCCTTCATCCCCTTCTCCCTCCTCAGTTCCCACAACCCTCCGTTCCACGGCCTCTTGTGGGAGACGCCGCCTCCTGCATTTTAAGGCTCACGGAGGAATGGCAGAAGGTACGACATCGCCGCAGCCCCCGGTGGCTCAACCCCCACCGCGCCGGCGTCTGCTCTATGGCGCCGGATTTGGCCCAAAGTCCTTCTGCAAGGAAATGGCTCTAAGGAGGAAGGTCAGAAGCAGGAAGTGTCCAATCGGGAAGAAGCATAGCGGTCACATGCCGGGCCGCAGTAGGGGCATGGACACCCTGACAGATTCACGGGACCTTGAATATGCCAAATTATACGCAAAATTGGGTTAGTGAGAGATTTGCCACCCATCTCGATAGTACAGGATCGTCTGTATCCCGAAAAGAAAATGCTGAGAAAAACACAGTTTGTTCTGTGTTTTCCTGCAAACATCCTATATTTCTTTAGATTGGAAGTGGCAGCCCTGGTGAGAGGATCAAGGTCACATTTAGCCAGGGGGCCCAGAGTCTCTTCTAGACCACCTTGGATCCAGGAACTTCCTCTCCTACATCGCATTACAACCCCCCGGTCAGCTCTTCGTGTTTAGATGTGGTTTTCCTACCTGATGCTGTAGACCCCCCCCCCGGCTATTGGTCCCATCTCACATTTCCTCAGATAAATGTATCTCTTGTGTCACTTTCATATGATTCTGTCTGGCAGTCTCCCCGCCTTGCTGCGTGACGCGCTGCGGCCGTGTGCCAGGGCCTGTCGTGTGCGGCCCGAAGCTCCAGGCGACCCGCGTCTCTCCCCCCTCCCCGCATCTCCGCAAACCATCACAAGAAATGAAAAGTGCCTTTTCCTCATTCTTCCTCTGACCTTAGAGACACCATTTTCAGCCTGAATATGCAAGCAAGATTATCAGCAAAGGTAGCAGGGAGATGACAGCAAACACCCCATACAGGATTTTGCTGGGCACAGACAAGTCCAGCTAAATGGACTGCATTTATATAGTGCTTTTCTACTCCTACGAGTACTCATAGCGCTTTACAATACATGCCTCACATTCACCATCCACACTCGCATTCACACACCGGTGGCGGAGGCTGCCATTCAAGGTGCCAACCTGCACACCAGGAGCAATTTGGGGTTCAGTGTCTTGCTCAAGGACACTTTGACGGGGTCAGGAGGAACCAGGATTCAAACCTACAACCCTCTGGTACTATCATGGTGTCCAGTGTGCGGCCCAGGACAGAGCCAGCTTTCTTAACAAGCTTGTTAAG